ACAGCCCTTTTCCTCCATACTTAGAGTACAATGCTTCCAAGACTTCAGAAAGTCAGCATCTGGAGAAGTCCTCAGAGATACTGTCCAAATGTTTTCCCACACATATAGAAAGAAACTGGTATGCCATTGGGTGTCAATACTGTTCCCTGAACCCAAGTCTTCATATATGGATGGAATGGTACATTAATCAGTGTTAACTACCATAAAGCATGTACAAAACTAAACTAAAACGCTGCAGCATTTTTTGTGCGGCAATAGTCCGTCGCTCCATTCAGGGTGCTGAGTGTACTGTACAAAACAAGCACTCAAGGCCTCTTCACAAAGTTGCCTCCACATGTAGGCTAGATATGTGGAGGGGAAGAGGGAGCAGAAACATATATGTTGGTTCCATCCCAAGTCGGTGTTGTTCCCCAAGCACAACCTTCATAATGTTCACACATGGGAAAGACTTTGGAAAGATGGTTTAAGATTCACTGCATGTACTGCTATAAAAGAAAATGTTATGAAGATGATGTATCGATGGTATATAACCCCCGTAAAGTTAGCAAAAATGTATAAGATAAGTAACAAATGTTGGAAATGTAAAGAAAAGGAAGGCACTTTCTTTCATATGTGGTGGGAGTGTAAGAAGGTAAAATGCTTCTGGGAAATGATTTATAATGAATTGAAGAAAATGTTGAAATATACATTTACTAAGAAACCAGAAGCGTTTTTACTAGGTATTACAGGGAATGAGATAAACAAGAAAGAGAAGAAGTTATTTTTATACGCAGTGACTGCAGCAAGAATATTGATGGCCCAGAAATGGAAACAAGAGGAGCTGCCTACAATAGAAGATTGGAGAGCCAAAATGATGGACTATGTGGAATTGGACAGAATGACAGGAAGGATTCGGAATCGACGAGATCAAAGATTTACAGAAGATTGGGAGAAGTTTATTCAATATTTGCAAAAACTAAGTGATAACCAGATTACGTTTGTAAGTTTTAAGGAAGCTCTGTGATGTGAAAATCTAATAATATGTATAAACAATGAAATTGAAGCTACCAGAATAAATAACAATAAGTAGGATTGTGTTAAAAGTTATAAAATGAAGGAAGTTCAGACAAATTGAAGGAAGTAAAAAAAATGGAATTAAGAGGTAATTAAGAAGTTTGAATGTACAACTTTGTTTTCTTTTTTTGTATTTGTAAACCAATAAAAATATAATTTAAAAAAAAACAACATAATGTTCACACATTTCACATAAGGAAGCTCCCGTACATAAGGCTGTATTCCATTTGAGGGTATTTTTCTGAACATGTGAACATTGGGGGGGGGTGCATATGTGTTATGTACTGAGTTGAATAGGATCCAAAATGCAGCAGTCTGATTGGTCCTAGAACAATAGGATCCAGAATGCAGCAGTCTGATTGGTCCACAGGAGCCACCCAATCCAGCTCCAGGTGGAAGTGAATCCGCAACCTGATTGGCCTACAGGAGAATCCCAGAATTAGCCAATCACGTGGGGCCCATTGTATAAATAATGTACATAAAGCAGACATTCTGGGGGAACTTCCATTCCTCCTCACCACTATGAGCTGAATAAAGAGCATGAAATCCACTCTCGACTCCGAGTATATTTCAATCTGATAGCCATTTTCTCTTGTTGCATTTAGCCTAAGCACGGAGGCGGCTTCTGAAAAAAAGTAAATGTTATATTTGGTTTGGAAAGGACACAAGCAGTCAAAAGTGTTGCTTACTATTATAAAATGTGGATCTCAGAAACCCAAGGGCTTGCACCATTTGATGGCTCTCTGGACCTGAATCTCCTATTTTCATTGTGGTGCAGTTTTAATGGGACTGTTTCATTGTACATTTTAATGTTTCTATGAGATTGCTTTAAATATGTATTCCAGCTAGGATGTGCTTTTAAATATTCCATATTTAAACAATGTTGCACAATTGGCTTTTATGTTTAGTAAGCCACTTACAAGCCATCTTGGCATTAACCAGGATATAAATTCATTCATTCATTAGTAAGTTATTTGGAAGAAAGCCCCAGTGAATTAAACACATCCTACCCCCTGCCCCCAGTACTTGTGCACAGGATCAAATGCTTTCGGTTTTCCCTCTAGAAGTTCACAATAGATTGCAGTACGCAACAGATATTTTTTTAAGTAATTGTTTTTTTCAGCTTTTATAATAACATTAAACCGTACAAGATTTCAGAGAAAGGCAGTAACAGTGGCATTGAAATACAACATTTTCCCGGCAGGTCAGCCTATTCACATTCAAGCTCTCTGGGGCTGGTAACTGGCAGTGCAAGTTGTCCAACAGAGCTTGTGTACGACTTGACTGAGGCAAACAGAGTCAGTCACTTTCCCTATTTTGTTTAGTCTGTTTCATTATTCTGGAATTGCTAGCATTTTGGTCCTATGCACATCTACTCACAAGTAAGTCCCACAGAGTTCAATGGTGCTTACTCTCGGGTAAGTGGGGATTGCATTGCAGTCTAAAAGTCGAGGACAAGAGTGGCAGCCAACAGCAAAGGCCAAAGCAGCAAGGAACTTTCTCCATGAGTGATAGCTAGTGAAATTTTCTTTGCGTGGCCAGCCCAAGATATTTCGATGCCTGAGGCACAGCGGGAAATGCTGGCACTCCCATCCCCCAAGTCAAGGTGCATAAAACCTCTGAACATGCACAGCATTGCTTTTAAAGGAACATTTTATTTCTGATCAGTAAGTAGAGCAAACATCACCCATGTTGTGATGCTGCCTACCTCCTCTTCCTGCTGAAGACATTGGTTCTACAAATCCCAAAGAAAGGAGGCAGCACCAGATAGAAATATTTGCCATAAGGTGCAGTACCTCCTGGGAGTTTATGCATTCTAATAAAAGCAATTCCAGGTGGACAGCTCCCGTCCTTCTCTTCTCCTGCAAGCTACAAGCAGAATTGCAACTGGCCGCCTACATTTCAGGAATCTAACAGGGTTCATTTCTGTTTTGTGAGTTCCATGCACACAGTGAACATGTCAGAGCCTTTCAGGCAGGGTTTGCCCCTCCTCTTTCTCCTCTCTTCAGTGGTTGCGACACATACCCTTCTCCTGCCATTATGAACCAGACGCCTCTCAGCACCATTTAACACTCTGCTTTGTGTTTTCCTTTCCAATTTTTGAAGCAGAATGATTTCAAATGATTTCAAATGTTTGCTTTTTTTAATGTACCTGTAGCACAGGGCAAGAGGACTGCAGCTCAACTTTCTTCCAAGTAAATACGAATGCAGCTCAGGCTTCAAGCCCCATGACTGCCTAGTTTCTAGTCTTGTTAATTTCACAGCCTTATCCAACCAACCAAGCCCGTTTCAACCGTTTCACACCCCACCTAGAACACTCACAGGCTCACCCCACCCCTTCTTGTTAGTTGTGCTATTCTACCACAGCACAGTTGCCCAAAAAAATATTGCCTGCAGCACAAGTCTAGAGGAGTGCAGCATTAGAGAACTGACGCCAGAACCTACACAGCTGTACTTAGAAGCAAGTGCTGCTGTTTTCGGTGTAATCTGTGAATTAAATAGCTAATTGAAGTGTGTGGGTTGAGAGAATCTCCTTCCAGGAAGTAATTAATTAAGGCTGAGAGGCGGTCGCACAGAGGAAAGGATTTTCAGTGCAGGACAGGAAATGGCTCTGAAATCAGAAGTGTGCAGCAAGCAATAGAGAAAAGGGGAGCTTCCCCAGAAGCAGCTTGCTGGGTGGGCCAGAGTCACCACATTAGCTTCCTGGCAGGCAGGGTGCTGTGTAAGAGTGGACATGTTAACATTAGTTTCTGAAAATAGAGACAATGCACATACTTTTGTAAACCAAGAAAATATTTAGTAAGGACTATTGTTTTTTATATAAACAACAGCAACACAGTAGTTTCTGATTCTAAAGGGTAGAGTGATGGTGTAGAACACAACTCATCTTAACTCTAATTCTGAAAAGGGTATCACCAGCCCCTTTTGGGAATTATCCACAAATCCATGGATTACGCAGAGACAATACATGTACTTTGTTTGTTTGTTTGTTTGTGTTTGTTTGTTTGTTACACTATAATTTTTTTAATAAAAACCATTTTTTTAAAAAGCTACAGTTTCTGAAAGAAAACTATTTTGAAAACAAGGAAATGAAATTCAGTACCATGAGAAGTAATAATCTTTCTCTCTCTCTCTCTTTTAAAAAGAAACAGTTTTAAACAAGCAAGAGTAGGATTTGATAAATTCCATCTTGTGATTCATTCTTCTATGTTCTATGCTGTGTGAATCACTCCCAGTACCATTTGCTTCTCCTCAGCCAAGAAAACCTTCTTCCTTCCTTCTTTAGCTCAACAGCCTTTATCCTCTTTCTGCCTTCTTTCTTCCAAACCCACAATTCCTCTTTCTTTATTTCTCCCATACCAACTCACACTCATTCTCTCTCCCCCTTGCCCTCTCTCAAAGTGTTTTAACAATCAATCTGGGAAATGTAGCTCTGTAAGAGGAATAAGGGTCTCCTAACAACTCCTCTCAGCAAGGGAAGTGGATGGCGCTGTGGTCTAAACCACTGAGCCTAGGGCTTGCTGATCAGAAGGTCAGCAGTTTGAATCCCTGTGACAGGGTGACCTCCCGTTGTTCGGTCCCAGCTCCTGCCAACCTAGCAGTTCGAAAGCACGTCAAAGTGCAAGTAGATAAATAGGTAGCGCTCCAGCGGGAAGGTAAATGGTGTTTCCGTGTGCTGCTCTGGTTTCGCCAGTAGCGGCTTAGTCATGCTGGCCACATGACCCGGAAAAACTGTCTGCGGACAAACGTCGGCTCTCTCGGCCAGTAAAGCGAGATGAGCGCCACAAACCCAGAGTTGTTCGTGACTGGACTTAACTGTCAGGGGTCCTTTACCTTTACCTTTTTTTAACTCCTCTCAGCACCCTTCAGAGAATCAGAGAACTGTAGAACTGGAAGGGACCCCAAGGATCATCTAGTTCAACCCCTGCAATATTGGAATATGAAGCTGTCCCGTATTGGGATTGAACCTGCAACCTTGGAGTTCTCAGTACCAAGCTCTAACCAACTGAGCTATACAGTGCCCAGGATTCTTCAAGGGAAGCCAAGATGGTTCAAATTGGTATGATACTGCTTTAAAGGTATAATGCAGATGGGTCAACACACACCCATTATTCATCTATCTTCTACACACGATCACATACACAAACACCTATTAAATTTCTATCCTGCCCTTCCAAAGCAGTCCATGTCCTTCTCTCTCCTCTTTGCCCCTTGGTTAGTGGTTAATTCATAATGAAAACATGAGGCCCATTAAGTGTGAAGAACTATTATTTCAAATTTATAAACTGACACTCCAAAAGCAAGCTTAAGATGGCTCATAATAATAATAATAAGGTTAAAACAAGTTGAAACAAACACCATAACATTGTAGATAGCAGTTAAAAGCAGCATAGGAAGTGTACCACCTCGGACCATTGGTCTATCTAGTTCAGTCTTGCTTTCAGCAGCTCTCCAGGTTTTGAGGCAGGAGATGTTCCTAGTTCTAGTATTTGGAGACACAAAGAACTTAGCCTGGGGCTTTTGTATGCAGAGGTTGTGCTCTACATCTGAAATGCAGCCCTTTGCTCTAAGAAACCTCAGGCTTTCTGTCTTGATTGCAGATCTGACTAGGTGGGGTGCCTGCAGGACTGCTGCTACTGTTCAAATGCCCAGAAATGCAGTGATTCTGCACAAGTTGTGTGGGAAAGTACTTGTTAAGAGTGGTGATTAACTACCGCCTACTAGTCACTAATTCTTCTCTGATGTGCACTGTGAGTCAGCACTTGTTCATCAGCACGATCTTCCTAAACTGTGAGTCTAGGCAAGGATCATGTCCTTGTCTCTTGATGTCAGCAGAGGCTTTTTTCTAATAAGAGAAATTTCAAAGCACTTCAGTGCCAGTTTGATGCAGTAAAAGAGTGGGATATTCTTTAAATGCTGTCAAAAAGGGAATTACACCATACAGTATATGCTATTATCTCCTGCTTACTGTTGTTTATTTGGCAATGAGTTGTTCGTAGGTGTGACATTAAGGCTGCTTTCAGACGATGTCATGTCTGATAAGCATTCCGACTGATTCGTCTGTGTAGAGATTAGACAATGACACCATCTACCCTGCACACTTATAGCAGTATCATGCCATGGTAAACAGTCATAGCTTCCCAAAGAATCCTGGGGATTGTAGTTTCTTGATGGAGAATCGTTAGGAGACTCCTATTCCCCTCATGGAAGAACTACAATTCCCAGTGTTTAACAATGAATCCCCTTTCCCAGGAATTCTGGGAATTGTAGCTCTGTGAGAGGAATAGGGGTCACCTAACAACTCTCTTTGCCCTTAAGAAACTACAGTTCCCAGGAAGCTTTGGGGAAGCTATGGCAGTTTGAAGTAGCATGATACTGCTTTAAATGTGCAGTGCAGAAGGGGCCAATCTTGAGTCAAGCAAGTGTTATCCCACACTTTCCAGCACATTTTCACTTTCTTCTCTGTCTTTTAGCAAAGCTGGCTCGCGTCACAAAAAGTTTAGCTTTACAGTGGTACCTCGGGTTACAAACACCTCGGGTTACAAACACTTCAGGTTACAAACTCCGCTAACCAGGAAGTAGTACCTCAGATTGAGAACTTTACCTCAGGATGAGAACTTGCTGCGGCAGCGGGAGGCCCCATTAGCTAAAGTGGTGCTTCAGGTTAAGAACAGTTTCAGATTAAGAACGGACCTCCGAAACGAATTAACTTCTTAACCCGAGGTACCACTGTAATTGTGCAGCCTCAATATGATGGGGGGCGAGTGAATCCCACTCAGAAATAGTTACAGTCTGGAAGCACCTAAATGCCTGTTTGCATTTAATGTGCACAATTTTTGTTGTTAAAATGCAAATGGCATCCTCTGAGTGTTGGGTGTGTGTGAGAGAGATAATTGACAGGATCACAACTGGGGTGCAGAGGGGGATTTAACCACAGCTCAGTGGCAGAGCATTTGCTATTGTCGCAGGTTCAATCCTCAATATCTCCAGGCAGGGCTGGGAGAGGCCCAATCTGAAACCCAAGACAGCTGCTGCCAGTTAGCATAGACAGTACTAAGCTAATGGACCACTGGTCTTACTTGGTATAAATCAGCTATGTATTTTCCTGCTGTACTGCTGAGAAAGATCCCTACTCTGACGCCATTATTTACATTGGGATAAGATGTCTGTTTGCTGCTGGGGTTCAACGCAAACATCATCTTCAGAGGCGCGTTTTTCTCTGAATCACAGCCAGAGAAGAAATAGTTACGTTCTCTCTCCCCCCTCCCCCCACAATCCCAGTCACAACCACCTTCCCCACCTTCATCAGATCCGATTTGCATGTTTTTTTTAAAAACACACATGTCAAATGCAAATATACATTTAATGTCATGTCTAGCTTGCTGGGAAGGAACACACCTGATTGTGTTTGTGTCACTCACATCTTCAAATACCCAGAACGAGTGACTTGCTTAATAAGTAAGAACTTCCCACCCTCACCTGCTGATTATGAGCAGCATAAAATTGTGAATTTCCCTAAAAACCTATTTGAAGCCATAGGAAACTCTCTGGTGCTCCCTTGTGTTCATGTCTAGTTAGCAAGGAGAGCAGCGGAAGAGAGAACAAGGCACTTGGATCAAAGGAGCCTCTGGAAATTGACTCTGTAGGGAGAACTCCCAGTGCTTTAAAACTCTGGGACTACTCTAACATTCATAGACATTCACACTTTCTCTATATAAAAAAACACCCACGATGGCTCATCTAGAAGAAGCCACTTTATCTAAAAGAGCTATAAGTGTGAGTGCAGCTTATTACAGTGTTTTATGGTGGGGTGGGGGACATTTTGACGGCCCCATTCCCTCAGGGGCAACCTTCTGGAGGAAGGCATGCCACTGGTGGGTGTGGCCAGAGGCAAAAGTGGGAAGAGCAAAGGATCTAACACTTACCTTTGTACAGTAGACTGACCGCAGGCCAGTGATGCCAGAGTCAGGTTTTTACACAGCCTGCGCTTCATCCTCCATCCAGACAGGCAAGAGGTGTTATCAGGGACACATTCCAGTCAGGCAAAAGCACTTGAGGAAGGTGCAAAGCAGGAGCAGTGAGGGGTGTGGCCTGGGAAGAGGAGAGACAGAGACAGAGAGATAATAGGCTAGAGAGCCACATTCATACCCCAGGGAGGTTCCCCATGCTTGCTTTGGATAGATATCTTGCAGGGCCACCCACTACATGCATGCCCTGGCACTAGGGGGTGCCACATGTCTGACTTTACGGGGGTCAGCCTTCTATTTCCTGAGCCCTAAGACCTTTTTCCAACGGTGGTGTTGCAAAGGGAGAGGAAAAAAACCCCTTTTGAAAAGCAAGATTTCTCCCCGTCCCCGCCATCTTCCCATCCTGTTGCAGCACAACACTCTGTGTATCTGTATGTGCAAGGCATACACACCTTGGAGGGCTTGTCCTTGGGCCAGAAAATATTAGCTCCCCCCCTCCCACTCTAGAGGGAGGGGGCAGGTGTTCCTGCAGGTGGGCTGATGGACTGGCTGATGCGAAACACATAGCCTTCCAATTGATCTCACACATTACTACATTGTCTTATAGCAAAAATCATTATATCAAGAGACATGAGCTGTCCCATTTTTCTCCGCCCTTGTAATGGTGATCAATAAATGGAGACCACTGAATATTCCATTGCTTTGACCCTTCGTGATACCGTTTCGATAACAAAAAGATAATTCCATTCATTGGCTGAGCAAACTGAGGGTTTCGTTTCATTATCCTGTTCAGTGTTCTAATTGTTTATTTGTAATGCAGTAGCTGACTTAGAAGTTGAGATGTTGAAATTTGGTGTCCTGAGCAGATGTACAATTCAACAGAACTCCAAGTATCAGCTTTCATCTGCCTAGAGTGCTAATACGTCAGAATGAAAATGGGCGTGTACAGGTCTTTTTTTCCAGCCAGAACTCTCCAGACTCAGTTCCGGCACCTCCCAGGTGGGTGCCATTGCCCATAAGATAATATGGGAGGCGTTCGTGTTGAGTTCCAGCCCCCTCTTCTTCTAGAAAAATAGCACTGCGTATGTACATTTACAACATAATTCTGTGGGAAGTTCAGAGTCTTATTCACCCCTGCACCTAGTTTCAAGAGGAAGGGGGAAAGATGCAAATCAGAGTATAATGTGATCTCTGACACAAGACCTTTCAAACACTATGCCTTACAAGTGTTCATGACAAAGCACAGTCAAATTTTAGATCTTAAAATATGTTCTTTTAAGCATTACCAAATTTTTAAATGATTGCAGCTGAGCCATAACAAGTACGCTGGATTGATTTTAAATGCTTATTACAACACAAAGCTCCATTAAATATGTATAGTAACCTAATCTGGCTAAAAACACAAGTAAAAACAATTTACAATCGAAGTCATTTTTATGGTTGTCCAAACATAACAGACCTAAATCATTTTAAAGCTCTGCTATAAAAGAGTTTAACAAACACAGTGTCACTGAACTCAGCAGAGCAGCTAGCTCAGAAAGCAGAAGAGATTTGTGGCGCACAAACACACACACACTAACAAAGCCACAAAATGCTGCACGAGGGACCTTAGAATCACAAAGCACAAATCTTTACAACTTGAGCTATAAAGCCAACCAACCATATGTAGACCAACAGCCTGAGAAATATCAACATTTTGGAGATTCCAGAAAGTGTGAAAGTATCCATCTAAAAAATGGGGCCAAGATAAAAAGTTTTGGCATAACAGTATGGAGTATTAAAACTCTAGATCCTTGGAACTGTTGCAGAGGTGTGGGCAGGCTGAGGGCACAGGAGTAGGGTTGCCTTTTTTCCCTGGCCCTGTTCCTACATCTTCTATGCACACACAAATCTAGCAAAAGTGGGGTGGTTTTTTCCTTTTATGCAAACACAGAAGTAAGAAAAAATTCATCATACTGATATTAAAAGCACAGGAACTGTAAAATAAAATAACAACAACAACAACAACAACAATTCTTAGAAGGAAAAATGTTGTGCCTTTTCCTGTTTTTAAG